AACACAGTAGGTGGCGACTGACTGCCAGCTTGCAGGCACATTTATGGGCAAGGAGGAGGGCAGCACAGTGGAATTTAAGGCAGTGAGGGTACTGCAGACCATGCCGTCAGAGACATAATTAGTGGGCAGATCAGGTAGTACTTTTGGGATCATTTGAGGGACATTGGCTTTTAATGAGTAAAATGGGGTGATGGTGGAGCCCATGCTGTGGTGTAGCACATAAAGCATTTATCTGTGATGCCAGCAAACCATATGGGAGCTGGTTTGTGTTCACTTCTGATCCAGCTCCCAGTTATCAGCCTTGGAAAGCAGCTTAAACTGAACCAAGTGCTTGGGCTTCTGCATCCACATGAGAAACCTAGAAGAAACTTTTGTCTCCTGGCTTTGGACTTGCCCAGCTCTGCTTGTTCATGTTGGCCATTTGGGGAGTGAGCCAGTGGAAGAAAGATCCTTCTTTCTCTGCAACTTTGCCTCAAAAAAAATTGAAGAACAGTGCAGGGTTGTGATGAGAAGATGATCAGATCTGACCATGGCTTTTAAGTGATTCTACTGGCCTTCGAGTAGACCGTGTGATGACAGAATCCGAAGCAGAAAAACAGCAGGAGACTCGGACTTGATTCTGTCTTTCTCTTGGCAGTATTGCTGACATCAAGACTGGGATACAACACAGACCTCTCAGGTTCATTATGTCCAAGACAGAATCCCTTTTCTCTTGCCAGTTCCCTCTTCCAAAGCTCGTTTTCTTCTCTAACCTCTGCCTTCCAGGTACCCATGCCGCTTTTGACTCCTATTGTTTGATCACATTGACTATAAAGAGAATGAGTTCTCAATAGAGTTGATCAGTTATTTTAATTTCATGCACCAATTGTTAGTCTCATCTTTCTGTTAGTTTTCAGGACTTGTTGGAACATTCTAGCTGTTCCTGGAGAGTGGTGCAGTCTGGGGTTCATTCGTTCCTTGCCTCCCTCCTGATTTGGTGAAGGAATTGCTTACTTGGCTTCCTTTTCGGGCTGGGCAGCCTCTACCTCTCACAAGTGGCTGATATAGAGGTCCCCTGCGGTCTTATAGTCCAAACATGTGTTGGGTTGAATCTTAGGTCTACAGCTTAAGAGTTATAGGACTTTAGACAAGCCACGTTATAACTCTAAGCCTCATTTCTTTATCTAAAAAAAAGTGGAGGGAGGGGCAAAAGCCCCATCATTTGTAAGGGCTGTTTTTAGTGGTAGAGATAATATTTCTAAAGCCCTTATGAGGCACCAGTCACTCAGTTAATGCTGGTTACTCCCTCCAGGCCACATGTTTCAGAAAAGCTGGCAGGTCAGGAGGTGGATTCACCAAAGCTCTTGTTTTCATCAAGTTGGGGTGGAGTGCTGTGCAGCTCTGTGGGTATTGTCAGATACACAGTGTCATGCATTGGCATCATACAGAGGAGTTTAGTCCCCTAAAACTCCCTTCTGCCTCCCCAGCCTTCTTCCCCACCCTGGGCTCCTGGCAGCCCTGTTATCCTTACTATGCCAGCTGCGTTGCCTTTTCCATAATGTCATACAGTTGGACTCACATCCTATAGAATCTTACAGATGGGTTTCTTTCACATAGCAGCTGAAGCGGGTAGTGTTAATGGAGTCAGTGAGAGGAGTCTCATCTTTTGTGTGTACTCTTGATAAAATGAGTATGGCTAAGGTCAAGATTTCATTCAAAGTGTTGTTTGCTTCCCCAAAAGTACATACCCGCGTCCACCCCAGATCTTACTGTAGTGTGCTGCCTTAGAATCTTGGAATATTTAACAGTGATGTCTAGTGCATTACGTCTTTGTGGCAAGCTGTAATAGGACAAAATCTCTTCATCGCTCCCAGATCTTACGTGGTACTTTGCGTTAGAATCCTAGAACTTCTAACAGTGGCATCTAGTGCATTACAATATGTGGCAAGGTGTGGCAGTGTGAACAAATGAAGATGCCAAATTGTAAGATATCTTAACTAAAAATTTTATGAAAAGTGAGATGGAAATGAAGAAAATAGAAAATGAAGCAAAAGTAGCCATGTAAAAGTTGCAGCTGTTAAAATAAGTGACTATTTATTACTCAAATGGAGAATGGTTATATAAAGTTACTGTGGGTTTAGATTCTACTAAGTATACATAAAATAAATAGCATAAGTTTTGTTTTAAAATATCATTATTTCCAATAAGGTAGAAGTTAAATTCCTCATAGGTGTAAGGGAAGTTCAAAAAGTTCATGGAAAGATGGAATTAAAACATGATTTTGGTATCAACATTTTTGAAATCCATGTACCTTTTTAAAATGCATGTACATTTGCCATGAACAGTTTGAAGACCTTTCTTATATGTGAATGCAAATTGTTTTATATGATAATAAGCTTATACTTAATTTCTACTATAAAGCTTTTTGATGTATCTTTGTACATGTTTTACCATAGGCTAAGAAAACACATGTTGACATGTTAATATCTGAGTGATTACAGAATTTCTCAAGATACTCTTGAATTTGTGAACAAACATAGTTGGAGACAGATATCAGTAAGCCATTGTATAAAACCCAATTGTATTAACCTGGTTTATAAAATGACTACATACCCTCCTCCTTTAAGGTTTTCTTTCTTTTTAATTTAGCCATTTCGTTGTTAACACCCTCTGCTCCAGGGCAAAGAAATGATTTGATGTTCCATGCATGTGTCGTACACCCTCCTGCCATTGTGCAAACTTTGTTCCCTAGCTTTTGCCTCATTACCTTCTGTTCTTTCTGAAGATGCTATAGCCCCTCCATGAGCTTCCTGTAGTCTTCTCTCTGAACTCAATACAGTTTTGTGATTGGCTCCTTTTTGTCTGAATCATACTGGGAAAACATTCAGAGTAGGGACCGTGTTTTAACTTTATCTCCTCATTACCCAGCAATATGCCTCACCTGATTATAAATTAATTTGTTGGACAACTATTAATGATTTAAGTAAGAAACTATAAACATCAGTTGTTTACGAGTTATTTGTTTTGCATAGCTTTTTTTTTTACTAGTGTATAAAGGGCTACTTTTGTTTACTGTTGGTTATTGTTGGCCTGGATGATATTTGCCTTTCCTGGCAAGATTTGTGATTAGCTTTTACATGAAGATGAACCTGGAATTGAATATGAGAACTACTACTCTGTTATGCTGAGCACAGCATTGTGAGCAGGAAGAGGAAAACAGTGTGAATTTGGATGTGCTGTAAAGTTGTCTTGTGATTATGGAAGAGGTAACCCCTAGGGAACACACTTTTTTTTAAAAAAATTATTTATTTTTATTGGAAAGGCAGATATACAGAGAGGAGGAAAGACAGAGAGGAAGATCTCCCGTCCAATGGTTCACTCCCCAAGTGAGCGAGCGCAATGGCTGGAGTGAAGCCAATCCGAAGGCAGGAGCCAGGAGCTCTTCCGGGTCTCCCACATGGGTGCAGAGTCCCAAGGATTTGGGGCATCCTCGACTGCTTTCCTAGGCCACAAGCAGGGAGCTGGATGGAAAGTAGGGTGGCTGGGATTGGAACTGGCGACCATATGGGATCCCAGTGTGTGCAAGTATAGGACTTTAACCACTACGCTATGGTGCCAGGCCCAGGAACACACTCTTATGTCTGTAACACACGTAGATGAACAGAGCCTTTCACATTTGATTAAATCAAGAAAAATGAAGACAGTGTGCTTGTGCAGGTTAAGTTGCTGCTTGCACAGTGATATCTAATATTGGAATGTTGGTTTCAGTTTCTACTATACTGCATCTAGTGCAGCCACCTGCTAATGTCCCTAGGAGGGGATCAGAAGATGCCCCAAGTGCTTGGGTCCTGTATCCCGGATGACAGATCAGGATGCGGTTCCAGGCTTGCCCTGACCCAATGCTGTAGGCATTTGGGAAGTGATCCAGCAGGTAGAAGATCCAGTTCTCCCTCTCCCCTTCTTCATACCCCATCCTATGTTTCTTTGCCATTCTTTTAAATAAATAAAATTACAAGCTAAAAATGGAAAAGTTTCAAAGAAGCAAGGTAATGATCATCCTTAGTAAGATCAGTGACTACCAATATGTAGCTTTGATTTACTTTTCCAATCACTGACATGGAAATGATATGTATGTTTATTGCCATTTGGAAACTATGAAGTGCCATTCCTTAGCGTGTAGCCTTAATCTACAATAAAATTAAAATAATAAAAGTATCAATATGGTAAGTATAACTTGTTGGTTCAAATGGTTTTTAGATTGTGTTTCAGTATCTGTAACTGAATACATAATTTTATGATTAATATTGTGCTTTCCAGTGCTTAGCTATCATTCTAGAAATGAACCACTTAATTTGTTAAAATGTATTTTTGTGACCAATTAATCAAAGCAGCTTCAATTGTTGAAAAACAATATCAGAAACCATTGGAGAAATGTTTCCTTGTGTCTTTTGGTGAATTCTAATCATATCAGGCATGATTAAATGGTGTTTGGAAAAGACTTGTATAAAGGGTTTGAAATTTTGTGGTGCTTGGCAAAAAGAAGGTGGTATTTCCTTGCTTGTCTTCCACTCCACCCCCCTTTTTTTTCCACCTGCTGAGAAAAGCCGTGTTTCTTCAGACAGACCTCATAATTGCCCTTCTGTGCCTGAGTTGGGGCTCAGAAAAGACCCATAGCATCTGTAAAGCTGGCAGCAAAAGGCTGTTTCCAGGCAGGCACAGGGTTGCTGGGTAGTGAGCCAATCCACAGCTCTGTGAGAGCAGCTGAGAACTTTGCCGGCGCATTACCACGGTGTTCAGTGACACAGACCTGTGCCATGAGCAAGTAAAGCCCCGAGCAAGTGTCAGGGTCAATATTTATAGACCACTACGTAGCTGTCTTGCAGAGAGAGAGAGAACGAGATAGGAACACGCACCCAGAGGACTAGCAGAGAAGGACTGCCGTGGAGGGAACTGGGGTTGGCACTGCTTTTCTGGGGAAAACAAAACAAAAAACAAAAAACCCACTTCTTTTTAACTGTCAGGTTCAAACTTCTGCTGAATCATCACGGTTTGGTGCTGAGCTATGACAAGAGAAGAAACAAAAAGTTAAGCCAGCAAGCCTGCCCTAGTGAGAAGGTAAGTAAAGAGACGCCTTGGATGTGCCTTTGCTTATACACTCTCTTTCCCTGTTGGCTGCTCTGCATCAGTAAGTGAAGGTTCTGTGTGGCTCTTGAAGGGGGAGGCTACCTGCTGTCGCAAACTGTTCTTGGTGGCAGAGTGACTTTGGGCACAGCTGATGAGAATGCCATGTGCCTATGCAAGTGTGTCAACGTGGGTGATAGGAGCAGGTCTCCAACACGAATTTCTGTGTGCATTCTATCAGGTTTCTAACTCATTCAATGAAATCTGAAGTCTCCCACTTGACAAAATGTTGTTTATTTTATAGCAGTATTAAACGTCAGTTTGAGTGGTCCTGAGGTGGCATGTAAGGGAACATGTGAAGATGTAATAGTATTCAGTGTCAGAATGCAGTGGTTGGAATAGGGGCAACACAGGGTCTGTTGTTTTTGTTCAGTGTCTATCTGACAGTACCCAAAAGGGGAACTGCACTGTCGGAAACAGAGAAAACTAGAAATGATGAGAAGTGCAAAACCTGCTTCATCCAGGGTGCAGAAGACCTTAGCACATACAAGAAGTTCTCTGCTTGTCCAGCTGCCCTGGGATTAGTTCCTTAGAAATTGTGCCTGTTTTCTAAATGTCCAGTGGGAGGTAACATGTCCTGTGACTGATCCATAGCTGTTTTTTTTTCCCCCCATCATCAGAAGTTGCCTTTGGCACATGTTTCTCTGTATGTTCAGAGTGCTGTAGAATGTTTCATAGAATGTTCTGCACATCTCAGGCCATCATCAACATCAACAAAGACAGTAATTCTAAAGAGCACAGAAAGAAATGATGTGTTTTCTGATTCAGAAGACTCATGAAATGTACGAACTTTTCTGTTTGTGTGGATTAGAAAGGTGATTTATTCGCTGCACTACAACTGTGCTTCTAACTTGATGAAATGAATTTATTGACATAGGAAGTGTTTCCTTTGTCGTGTGTGTGTGTGTGCACGCGCTTTTCGATTGTGGAGCTGGATGCATTAGCCTTGATGCTTAAAATTTTTAGCTTCAGATATAGATAGTGATTGAAGTTCCAGTGAGTTGTTTTTTTTTTTTTTTTAATACTGCCTATTTAGTTGTGAAACTAAAGTAATGTTTGTGTTGTATTAGGGCTTAGACTGGAGAGCCAGTGCAGGTGTAAGGGAGAGTGGGGATGTTGGTGCAGATTCTGTGATAGGGTCAGCATGCAGGGACCCAGCTCACTCTTGTTCAGAGGAGAAGCAGAGCCACATCAACAGGTGGAATAGGCCTGAAGGTCTCCAGGCTAGCCAGCCTGTGGCTCTGCAGCATCACTTCTGTGGGATGTATACCTGATTTCTAGAAGGGCACAAGTTGTTTCAAAATCAGTATTATTAATTCAGAAGTGTTTTAGGGGGGATATATATATACATATATATATATATGTATATGTATATATATCCATGCTACATTTTACCTTCATTGATTGGTCATTTTAGCCTCTGAATTTAGTTGTTGCTGCCTTTTCTCAAAATTTGCCTGCTAGTTTGTTAGTCGTGTTTTTAGACTTTTGATAATCATTTTAGATTTAACTTTGAAAATATATCTATGGTTGAATTAGAAGAAATATTTCTGACTGGGAAGCCTAAACACTAAGTTTCTTTATATACAATTTTTGCTTTTGTTGCTGTCTTTGGTTAATATCTCAGCCTCATGATTGTGATTTTGGGTTTTAATTTAATATTGATTTTTTGGATTAGTATGTGTATACTTGCATGACATGACTTAATTCTTTGTATTAGATTTATTTTTATTCCTTCAGGATCCTTGTTTCTGAATTATAAGTTGGATGTGGACAGAAAACAGGTCAAATAAATGATTGCAATTAAAAGAAACTGAAAGTGTTCCTTTTGGCTAAAAGAATGCAAAATTATGCTATTGGTTGTTTATAAAGGCCAAAATGGGAATTTTTTCGAAGGCTAGTGAACTATGTTAGAACTTGAAATACCTTTTCTGTTATTTTCTCTGTATTGTCAATCCAGATGCTGGTCACTTGACATGATTGTAAACAGCATTTAGTATGCTGGAATGCTGTTAAAGAGACATGTGCTAAGTGTCTGTTGAAGTCAGATGAGTGAGTTGACATTAAAATATTACTATTGGCACCTGACGAATCATACGGCCCTTAGTCTCGTTGGCCATGTCCAAGTCCATCTGCTGTAGCGATCAGTGTCTGGAAGGAAAGACATACTCTGCACTGAGTTCTGCTCCCTGTAGGATCAAAGTCAGGCTTCTTGACACTTTTTTTTTTTGAAGATTAAAAAAAAATGTTGGAAAGGCAGATTTAGACAGGAGGAGAAACAAAGATCTTCCATGGGTTGGTTCACTCCCAAAATGGCTGCAATGGCTGGAGCTGAGCTGATCCAAAGCCAAGAGCCAGAAGCTTCTTCTTCTGGGTCTGCCATGTTGTGTGTAGGGTCCTAAAGTTTTGGGCCAACTTCTTCTGTTTTCCAGGCCATAAGCTGGAACTGGATGGGAAGTGGACCAGTCAGAATACGAACTGGTGCCTATATGGAATGCTAGCACTTACAGGCAGAGGATTAACTTGTTGAGACATTGTGCCAAGCCTGAGTCTGTTTTTGATCTTGTTGCAAACTTTATTCCATCTTCATCTTGAACTGTTTGTTCTGGGTTGCTACGTCCATCTCGCTTACAACCCAGTGAAAGTGGTTGCATTTTCCTCTGTTTTATGACCTGCCAGTGCTCAGTATCTTGCCCTTCTCTGGCCAGTGTGTATTGGTTGGGCACTCTCAGGAACAGTCTGCTCGGTTCCACTTTGTAAGGGCCCCCTGTGCAGTCTTTCCCGTTCAACCTAGGTAGAGGGCCCCTCCTGGTCTTCTGAGCATTTTGGGTGTTGCCATTTGTTAAGACCTCTGTCTCAGCACTTGGTAAAACTTTTCTTAGTTTGATATTTTGTACTGCATTTGCCATTTGTTGCCAGATTTTTAAATGTATTATTTTATGCTTCCTCAAACCTAGGCTGTAGCAAATGTTCCTGAATGTGAAGTAAACAAAATCTTTATCCTGTTTGTTTTAAGGAGGCATACTTTTTATATAGCTTTTTGTTTTAATAGATTTTGGAATAGTGGGTAAATACAGTAAAGGAAAATCCTTTCAGCATAAAGTAAATGTGTTGGGGGTAAACCAGTGCTTTTTAAAATTTGAGTTTCTCTTCCTAGAAGCAATCGTGTGTGTGTGTATGTGTGTGTGTGTGTGTATGCAATGCATGCAAGTAGATGTTTGTTGAACTAATAAGCTTGTTTGGAGAAACAAAATAGCAAATTTGCAAATATGAATTCAAGGCACTAGCTAGTACAAGCTGTCTACTTAACTCATTTAGTAAAAATATATATACATATATATGTCAGCACAATGTGCTACTTGGCCCTGCTGCTGCATGGACTGGCACAAGAAGTCAGAGACGTCCTGGCCAACTGTAGCAACGCCCCTTCCCGAAGGCCACAGAGGACTCAGGATGGAAAAGGTGGGTCGCCGCGGCTCCTGGGGTGAGACCAGCGAGGTTTGCAGAGATGTGTAGGGGTTTAGTGAGATCCTAGAAAACAATGGCCTGAGAATTCTCAAACGCTAAAGGTTTGAGTGAATCCATTTCAGTCAGCAGAAGAATTGCCTCTCAAAATAGAAGTGCTGAAAGAAAAGGAAGTCAGTGTTTAAATAATTAGTTGAGAAAAAGCAGCTGCTTCTTTCAGGTCTGGTCCCCAAAACAAATACAGTTTACTTTGCCTTTAATTATGTTTTGCTTGCCCATTATACATGAATATACTTACATTGTATATAAAATATTTTTGTATACCAGACATAAATCTAAAGTTTCATGCATAATGTAGAATAATTTCATTTTTTCTTGTTTTGATTACTTTTGCTTCTTGGTGTACCGTATCAGCAGTTTCCATTGCTCCTTCAGTCTTATAAACCGCTTCCAGACAGTGAATATGAGTCTTTTGTTTGTTTTACTTTGAATTGTATCTGTCTTAGGAATGAAAACACAACTGTTATTTTCATAGGAAAAGTTGGTAACCTTTTAATTGCTTGGAATGGGTCTTAAATTCAATTTGAGGCTTTCAAATTTTTCAGATCTATTTACCCATCTAACTCTCCTGTGGTCCTGTAGATATGGAGAAAGTATGTTACCAAAGAGTTACAAGAGCGGATTTTATAGCTGCCTTTGGCATACTAAGTAATCTAAGCAGGGTAAGACTGTGAGGTGTGGTTCTCTAGTCAGAAATATATTTGATCCAGTTCATGAAGAAAAAAGCCGAGCTTGCCCTCTGTATTAAAAGATGATAGCAATACTATTTTCACAGAGAAAAGATCAAAGAACCATGGTTGAAGTGAAGTATGAAAGATCCTATCACTAGAGGAAAGTCTTCCTTTGTTAGCAGCTTGGCCTGCCATTTAGAATTTCTGTGTGACTTATGTATGGCATAGAATCCGTGGAACCCAAGAGGGAGAATAAATGAATTAGGAAACTAGAATCTTAAAGCTTTTCTTCTCCACTTTCATTTCCTAGATGGACAAATGGGGTGCAGACAGTTAACAGATGTTGCCCAAAGTCAGCTCTCAAGGTAGTTAAGATTCCCATCAACATAATGTATAAATCATTGTAAGGTAGTTCTTTTCTGTACTTGCTTTATTTTTCTGTGTACTACATTTAAAGGTCTATTTTCTCTGTGTTTTTACTGTAGTAAGCTTTGCCTTGCTGCTTGGTCTCTGCAAATTAAGGCTGATCATAATTACTATGAAGTAAGATGTAGTACTCTTCTACCCATCACCATGAAACGTATGTTTGTGTGTTTGGATGTATATCTATGTGTGATTTCTAATAAGAGGTATTCTTGCTGGCTGTCCTAGTATTCCATCTTCTATGTGGTGTTCCAGTCACTTCTGTGGCCCACAAAACATTCTCATTTCAGAAGAATATGGTAGATATTCCTGAGG